CATTTAGTATTGTACAATTTTATATCATTGAAATTAAAATACTGTAGCTTTACTCTCTTTTTTTTAAAACAAAACCTACATTTAGTATTTTATGGGTTTAATCCATTAAATATAATTAAAGTCTGATATATATGTATTCTTATGAAAAAGTTTGAACATAGTAGTTAATTATAAGTTCATAACCAAAGAATATAAACTACTAACTTCAATTNAACAAAACCTACATTTAGTATTTTATGGGTTTAATCCATTAAATATAATTAAAGTCTGATATATATGTATTCTTATGAAAAAGTTTGAACATAGTAGTTAATTATAAGTTCATAACCAAAGAATATAAACTACTAACTTCAATTAAATATCTTTTCATTTTTAAAGTTTTTTGATACTTGGTTTCATTATTATTATTTTCTCTAAATGATATATTTGTATTTAAAAACTTAATAAAAATTTTGAATTTTATATATACTACCAAATAAACTAAATAAAACACAATAAAAGAAAAATACAATATCGTAGTTTATAAGTGAATACTAATCACACGGAACAAGACACACCAATGTCAATAATGAATAACATATGAAATTATGATATAAAAGACACAAAAACGCCTTATTTATCGTATTTTCAAAAATTTAAAACATATTATTATGAAGAACTAACACCCGCGCGGGCGCGCGGGTCAAAATCTAGTTTTCTTTAAAACAAAAGCTAGCTAAAGTCTCTGTTCTTTTGTAATTAGAATCATGAAAGTAGTGATGACACCCTGTGTTTTGCTCTCAGGATGGTCTCTGCAAATTGACCCTTGACCATTGCAGCACGGAGATCCTTCTCAGGAGGCAGGCATTGCAGGTAATGGCAATTTCAACCCTGTGCTTATAGACCTAAAAATAAACAATAGTGAGTGTTATCTTACAGAAGTTAGACACAAATAGAACCGAGCAATGTTTAAATGAAACGGAAAATGGATTCAAGACCGTTGGAATGTGGATCAGACAATCATGTTTCTGCAACAGCATTGAAATTTTTGTCAGTGACAATAACAATACAAAACTCAAATTCATCAAAGAGAAAAACATCAACCAATTTATACCATTAATGAAGAAAAAGCGATCACTTCCAGATGAGTTACAGGACTTGCGGCATATGCAAGCGATCACTTCCAGATGAGTTACAGGACTTGAGGCATATGCAAGCTATCTTACCACATGAATCACATTTGCAGGCTGAAGTTGGAGTTGAACCTGCATCAATACAGTTAAATCCACTGCTCAGAAAGAAGTCACAAAGCAAAGCAGCAAAAATTTCTAACATAGTACCTTTGCTTGTGATTTTCACAGCTAAACAGACTCCAGGACCCTTCTAGATGTATTTGGAATATTTCCAAATATCTTATTATTTATTTTGTCAATTGTATTTTAAATTTAAATAATTATCTTTATTGTTTTAAGGTTTTATGGTTTATATATATAGGCTTGTATACAGTTTATGATTTGATTAATAAAAGTTAAGAGATTTCTCTTTATTCCTTGTTTTCGGTAGATCATTGGTGATCTCAACGAATTTAAGAAGACATTGATCTTAGGTATTCTTATACTAAATAACATCTTTGTGATTATCATAGTTTTACGGGTATTCTCAGAATCAACGGATTACTATTCCTATTCTTCCGCTACATCAGTTGGTATCAGAGCGAGAATGATTCTGGAATCATGTTGAAGGGGAATATCTATTTTTTCGCAAAAGAAAACTTGTTTTCTGCGAGGCAAGACGCTGTTTGGGAAGACACTGTTTACATAGATATTGTTGGAGATCCAATATTTGATATCTATGATGATGTTGTCAGGGAAGACAAAGACGAATCTGTTGAATGTCATGTTAAAAATTCTATTTGTGACTGACGATGAAAACGATTTCATCAAAATTGCAGAGATGAGCGATGGACATGTGATGGCCGTATGGGAAGATGGATTCCTGATTACCAAGCATCTCCATGTCATATCGACAAAAGAAGCAGTCACGTATGTATTCAACAGCACTAGAATCCAATCAGATGACTCCGTGGAGTTTTGGAATAAAAAAAGAGGTTTCATGCAAATTATGGAAATTTTGGCCAAAGGCAATACGTGTCTTATAATTTGTTTGGAAAGACATAATAAGAAGGCCAAGAGATACCAATGGAAGAGTCGCAAAAGAATAAGATTTCGTGGGAAGATTTCAAGTTTTGAAGACTTTGAAGTTGAAGATCACGGTTAAAGATTCTAGGGTGAATCTTCTCCAACACGAAAAGAATGACGCAGATAAGTATTTGGAATATTTCTAAATATCTTATTATTTATTTTGTTAATTAAATTTTAAATTTAAATAATTATCTTTATTGTTTTAGGGTTTTATGGTTTTATAGTTTTTATATATATAGGCTTCTTATGACTAGAGTTAGATCATTGGTGATCTCAACGTATTTAATAAGACATTGATGTCTTATTCTTAGACTAAATAAGATCTTTGTGATTATCATAGTTTTCCGGGTATTCTCAGAATCAACGATCACTATTCATATCCCTAAAGCTTCCGCTACATCACTTCTCGAGTTTCTTAATCCTCAGGTTATCGACCTGATAGCTTGAGAATATAGGAGAAGTTGGAGTTTCTGAAAGAAAATTTGAAGGAGCTTGGCTATGTTCCTGATTAGAGATCTGCTTTACATGACGTTGAAGACGAATAGAAGGAAGATATGTTGTGGTATCACAGTGAGAGGTTTGCTATCGCGTTTGCGTTGGTTAATACAGTTGAAGGAAGTACTGTCACTGTGATTAAAAATCTACGAGTTTGTGAAGATTGTCACGCAGTGATCAAGCTGATCTCATGAATTGTGGGACCGGAGATTGTGTTAAGGGATCCAACTCATCATTGTAAGGATGGGATATATATGTTCTTGTGAGGATTATTGGTAAAAATTAAAATGATTTCTCTCTGCAGAAAACTTAAGAAATCACTGATCTGTGCTGAAGCCAAATATCTAAGAAAGTTTTCAGGTATCTAAACAAACCCATAACCCAATGCTTACGCCAATGTCACAGTTTGACTCACAAAACGTTACAATTCAATAATGACTGTGAATGAAATGTGTTTTGCGAAAATTTCATCTGCAGAGGTTCTTTTATAGGAGTTGTCAATATTAACATTTATCTTCTTTCAGAACCAGAATGAGGATCACATGAAGAAGGAAAAGCGGAAGATTATTTGATAAAGGTGTGTCGTTCATACATGTAAGAGCAATTATACATGAACGATTTATAATATGGTTTTATGTTTTTGGAACCAACAAGAACCTTGGAAAGTGAGAATTGGGACCTGACGCCCAAGTTGAGAGCTGAAGTGTCAAATCCCTTGGCCTCAGATAGATTCAGGTATTGTCATTGTTTAGAGTGATGAATGAGATGTTATATGTTCATTTTTTTCACGGAGTTTATTTTTCCATGTGGAACTATTAGGCATTGCATAGTTCTGATTTTGGAGGTCTCTGTTGTAGGCAAACATTTAACATTTCAGACTGAAGCTAGCTCTCTGCCTGTTGAGTACTTGATCTCGCCTACTCTTCTGTTCCAAGTAATTTTGTACTACTCTACTCCATCTCAACTACGATCAGGTGGATATAGAGTTTCAAGTCATATCAGCTGCAAAAATTCAGTAGGCATAATATGTGAAGGATACGCGACAATACTCCGGGAGGACTATGTAAATCCAGATATTCTTCCATCCACAGGTCAGTTCATGCAATGAAACCAACAGGGATAACCTTGGACACCATGAGACTGAAAGCAGCGAAGAGTGGGAAGACTGCATCGATACTGATCTTGGGAATGAGACTGATCACAGTGTAGGGTTTAGAAACTGTGGTATAGAGATGGACAAGCAGCAGCCCGTGCAGGAGTAAGCATTAGGCTTAACTCAATAATTCTTAGGACAATCAGAAACTAACAAAAAATAGCATTTAGAATTTTTCGGTTTCGTTGTGTTTAACATCTCTAATATAAAACTCTTTTTTTTTCTGCGAAATAGAGTATAGAGTTGAATTTAATCTAACTCTACACTATTTTAGAGTTTAAAATTGAAAAATGAACAAAAATTAGAAAACTTATTCCATTTATGTAGTAAATCCATGTTTACTTCAGATGGGGTTGGAGCATTTGTCACTGCAAATTTCATTTTGGTGTAATTTATGGAATATTGTTGGAGATAATCTTAGAGAGCATTTCTAATGTTAGTTCATTTTTCCTTCTAATTAGTATTTATAGAGTAAAAAGATATCTATATGTCATGTTTCAAAAAAAAAAAGATATTCATATGTCATATAAAATATAAAGAAATGGATAGTAAAATATTTAATGATACACTATTCGTATACGATACTTGTATTAGAGTCAAACGTTTTCTTTCTAATTTTCATCTTCTATCTAAATAATTCTTTTTTGTCATCAAAAATATTCAGTATGTCATTTGTTTAGTTGTGTTGTAATAAAATTTAAAATAATCTTTTAATTTAGTAATAAAGTAATTGCGTTGGTTAAGTATTATAAGATAAGATAAAAGACTGGAATGTCCACATTTTATAAGTTTGTAAAAGAGAAGAAAGAAAAATAATATATTTTAAATTTATTTTAAAATAAAAATAAAAATAACGTTTGGAGCAAACCTTCTTTGTGTAGTTTCAAAGTACTATATGTTTAGAATAAGAAATAGAAGCAACCATTGAAAATGGATGCCGTTTGTTTCTCTCACACAAATTATAAAGCCAAAAATACTTCAATATCTGTATACTTTAAAAACAATTTCAGCTGAGGGGACACGTGGAAGATTATTGTTGTTCCATTTGCACCAGTAAATGAAAAAATGAAAGTTCATCAGAGTAACATAATCAAAGATTCAAACAGGCGTTGTGTGTTCCTCTCAGGTTTGGAAGGAGAGCAAAGCAGAGGTTTCTTGAGTGGTCCTTCACGTTATCTGCAGAGAAAACGAGAAAATAAATCCACTGATCTGTTGACAAATAGTATAAAGTTCAGGTCATGCTTGATGCTTACCCGCATACGCTTATTGTTTTTCTCTGTCTCTTCACAACAGCCTCCACACTCTTGTTTAATTATATTATCTTCACAAACTCTTGGAAGAGTATTTGGATTACCAAGTTGGTTCTTCGGTGATAAGTAGTCCTCAGCGAGTCGTATACCCCATCCTTTTAAGTTGAACTTGAAGTCACTGATATCACTCAGATGATCCAATTCCTCAGGATCCAATATTTTAGATCTGAATGTAGAGTCCATTCTGTTACTTACATGGAGTTGTATCTCCACGTGATCGTAGTTCAGTTGAGCTATAGGAACACTGTGGTTGTTTAGAGGGAACCGACAGTCCAATATAAACAGATGACTATCCTTCTTATCTGTCCCAAAGAGTTGTTGCTGGCCAAAAGAATCAACGCTGTCCCCAAGTATGCCTTTGAACCGATAGCTGACACGGATATATACTACGTTACTACGATGTGTGTGCACAGAGTCGAAATGACCCAACGCGCAAGCCCTGAATCGGAAAAATGGCTGCGAGAGAGAAGTGGGAGGTAGAGGGATGGTTAAAGAGGAGGTTGTTTCAGTTGTACGGTGAGTGAAATATGACGGCACTTGTTCACCTGTCATGACCAATTTCTCAAAAATAAATGAACGTTGGTGAAGGAGAGCTTCTGGGTCCAAGTTGAGGCAGATGAAATGAGTACTGACTTCTGAGAAAAAATTATCTGGACAATCAGTCCAGCTAGCTTCGGTCAATGCCCCACAGTCTGAAAAGTCAACTACCTTAAGTTCTTTCAGTTTATAAATGTTAAGGGATACACGCTCCAAGTTGCTGCAGCTCTCCATGCCTAGGTATTCAAGCTTGGAGAATTTCTTGATCCACCAAGGAACCTCTAAAATCCCTGTTCGGGCTAGATAGAAATGTTCTATGCTGGTTGAGATATCAGGAAAAGTCCTCAAACGTGAGCATCCCGTGAAGTCAAGGTAGCAGAGATATTGAAGGTTGATGCCAGTGGGAAGAGTCTCAAGATTTATGCATTCTGTAATTTCCAGACAATCAAGATTGTGAAAATTCTGGATAGAGGAAGGAAGTTCCACCAAACTTGGGATATCTGAGAGAAACAATCTCTCTAAAGTTGGAGACAGCATGCTCATGATTGATGCAAGCTGCTGAATAAAAATAAATAAAAATACAATTTAGAGATGTTGACAGGAATGAATTGACTCTATCACTCAAATGACTTCTTTCCCAGTAATACACTAATACTACTAACTTTTTTACAATGTTCACATCAACAAAACATTAAAACTAATATAAATAACACATTTTAATTCATACATATTTTATTATTAAGTGTTTAAATGTATTGGTATCATATATCATATAGTAATAAATGTACACAATCTTTTAACCTCGTCGTAATTACACACTATTTAAGTATAACAACCTATTTCCACAGATTATAAAAGTTCGAAACCGGGCTTCCTTTTAAACTTTGAAGGATTAACTAATACCAACAAATAGCGGTTAAAGTTGGTTAGTGTTCCCTAAACCCTAAACTTAACCAATGACTAACTTAACTAAACCAAAAATGATCCGATTAGAGAATATAAACCAGATTAAACCAACCTAAAAACATAAATCCTCGGTCTCTCTCTCGCGAAGAACGTCGTTTCTCCTCTGCTTGGCTTCAGTTAAGTATATCCTCTATCTATGTATGTATCACTCTCTCTCTCTCTCTTTTTGCCGTTATTGTATTGTCTCTCTGTCTTTTTCAAGTATTGACTCTGTGTCTCTCTGTTTTGCAGAAACGACAATGGAGTCATGATGTGAATGTTGAGTAGAATAATGTACCTGATTTTGATCCCGGGACTCTCGATTCTCCTGATTTTGACTCTCATGGTGAAAATCGAAGAGAACATAAGAACTACAGCATCGAGAAAGAAGCCTTGAACTTTGTTGATGAACCTCTAGTGAAGCATAACTTGTATTCATAGACAGATGGTGATGAAGAGGGGGGGGGGAGAAATTCATGTTTGGAAACTGGTTACGAACATCAGATGATGATGACGAATTGGTTTACTATCGGTTCATGTCATAAACCAAATTAACCAAGCCAAATCTTGGTCCGGAAACGGATTTCAAACTTTTATCGTGTATGGAAATAAGCTTTTACACTTAAATGGTGTGTAATTACGACGAGATTGAAAGATTGTGTACATTTATTACTATATGATAGTTCTAGTGTGAAAATATGCCGTCTTCTCTTCAATTTACCATATAGACTAAAAACGAAAGTTAAATTAGTTTTTAAGGTAAAGTTACTTACCTGCTCTCTTTCCCACAGTTTTTCAGCCTTCGTTTTAACCATACTAAGAACAACCAGTTTCTTAAGACGAAAGATAAAATGGAATTCGTCAATCGCTGTTTCGTCCAAAACAAGTGCTGAGATGTTGGTAGAAATATCAGGAAGAATCTTCAACCGTGAGCATCCTTTGAGGAAAAGCATATCAAGACATTGAAAGGTACATTCCTGTGGGAAGGGTCTCCAAATTTTCACAGAATGACATATACAGCTGTTTCATTTTACTGAGATGCTGAATAGAGGAAGTAAGCTCCACCAAACTCGAGCAATAATCAAGATTAAGAATCTGGAGATTATGGGCCAGAGAAAGATCTGGTACTTCTTCCAGATGTATAGATCTTTGTAAATCCATCTCCCTGAGCCCTGCAAGTGATTGCAGTATACGTGACCACACGTCACATGAAAGCATCTATAGAAGTAAAATCTTAAGCACCTACAACTCAATAGTAATTTTATTAAAGACTTACGTGAACGCCTTCCCACAACTTTTGGAGTTTGCTACCTGAAATTTGAAGCTTAACAATAGGGGTGGGCGTTCGGGTACCCGTTCGGGTTCGGGTCGGGTATTTCGGGTTTTCGGGTATTTCGGTATTGGGGTATAGAACCCGTTCGGGTATTTTTACATATCGGGTCGGGTTCGGATATTTTTAGTTCGGGTTCGGTTATTTCGGGTCGGGTTCGGATATTTTGATTTTGAAAGAAAATTTCAAATTCTTTATTAGTTAAGTTTCATGTATTTAAAATTTAACTATTAACTTAATTGTTTTAAAAATGTTTAATAAGTTAGACGATTAATAATTTTGAAAATAAATTATTGAAAATAAAATTCATTATTTTGGTTGTTATTTTTGAATTTTGGATGCAAATTTTGTTTAAAATAAGAAATAAGAAGCTTAATATGCATTTTAAATGAGTAACCAATTATTATTTTTTTACAATTATATGTATATTATCTGATCTTAAATTATATATAACATTAATATAAATATTTTTAATAAAATGAGATAAATAAACTAGGAATAAATAGGTATATATACATATGTTCGGTTATCTTCGGATACCCGTTCGGGTTCGGGTAATACCCGTTCGGGTTCGGATATCCAAACTCTCCTAACTCAATACCCGTTCGGGTATTTTGCTACTTCGGTTCGGATTTCGGTTCAGATATTTCGGGTCGGGTTCGGGTACGAGTTCGGGTATCGGATAAAGTGCCCACCCCTACTTAACAAGGTGTTCAGGACAAAAAAGTCGAAGGCATATATTTCATTGGATGTCCGTCAAACCTCAATAATCTAAGTTTAGGGGGCAAATCGTCAAAGCCTTTCGGTAAGTACCATCTCATCTTCTGGTCCCACTTCTTAGCGTTATAAATCTTTAGAAAGAAGAGATTACGCATCCCTTTGAAAGCATTCTTATGTATATGCAGTTCGTTAATCTTATCCACATCTAATGATATACCTAAAACCTTCTTAGTACCCTGAGATGACAATACAAATAAAAATTCTAAGACTATATGATTTTAAACTTATAGAGTGTTATATAAATGAAACGAAAAAAACTTACAGTGTTATCTTCAAGTACATCGCAAATTTCTTTTGAATCCATAAGGAATTCTCGTCTCCAGGCTCATCGGACTGTGCATGGACAATCTCCTTACCCATATCTTGTAGCAAACAGTGCATCTCAACCCTATTCTTTCTTACATGTACAAGAGACTTATCAACAAGGTTTTTGAACCCAATATTAAAATCCAAGTCACTATCTGCTAGTAGCATGTTAATGTCATCAACTTTTTCGCCATTGAAAAGACATGAAATGTGACGAAATATTGCTTCATCTTTTTTGTTGTTTAACCCTTCATAGCTGACTATTAGTGTTCTCTCAATTTTTCCATTCAACCTATTACGAAGGCTAGGTTTCATATCCATCCAATCATCTTTGTCCCTACCTCGTAATTACGCACCCAAAACCTTAAGACCCAAAGGAAGGTTTCCGGCACACAATGCAATTTCGGTAGCAAGCTCCATCAAATCAGCAGGTGGAAAATTTTCCCTGAAAGCAGATCTACAAAACATCTCAAGAGCAAGGTCTGTAGATGGTAGGCATACCTCATATATATGATCAATCCCATGAGCCCTTAAGAAATGCCTATCTTTAGTAATCACAATGATTCTGCTCCCTGATCCAAACCAATGAGTTTGACCAGCCAACGTATCCAGCACCAGTTGATCATCCAAATCGTCAATAAATAGAAGAACTTTCTGATATTTTAGCCTCTCTTTGACTGCACTTAAACTATCTATCCTTATGTCTTTTTTGTTTAAAAGTTCAGACAAAAAACTTCTTAGCAAATGCAACCTCATGTTATAGTCATCGGGGTTGGCACCATTATAAATTTCCATAGTCTTATATACGAAAGCTCTGTCTATGTAAACACTACCTTGGAACTGGCGAGAGAGTTGACTATGTAAAACTCTAATAGATGAAACGAGAAATATCTTCATTAACTGTAACAGAATGTACAAGTATTCTTTATATACACATCATTAGATTAAGCTAACTAATCTAACTAACCATGATTAACTTATGACTAACTATATACACACTCTATTAGGCCCCCTCAAGATGGCGTCATAACATTGTGAAGATCCATCTTGGACATTAACTTGTTAAACTGCATCGGATAGAGTGGCTTAGTCAAAGCATCATCTAACTGATTTTCAGATCGAACATGAAGAGTCCTTAGCTGACCTGCAACGAGACGCTCACGAATGGCATGACATTCACATTCTATATGTTTTGTACGCTCGTGGAAAACAGGGGTTTTATCAATGTGTAAGTCTGCTGTGCTATCACAATACAAGACAGGAATAGCCGGAGAAGGACAGCCAAGCTCAGCAAGCATTCATGATAACCAGAGAATATCTTTTGAAGTTGCAGACATTGCTATGTATTCAGCCTCGGCTGAAGAATGAGAAACAACATCATGTTTCTTGGATTTCCAGGCAATAAGAGAATTACCAATGAAAATACAAGAACCAGTCACACTGCATCGAGTATCAGGACAATTAGACCAGTCAACATCACAGAAAGCTTTAAGCTGATAGTCATTATCTGCAGGGAAGAACAAACTCTGACCAATTGTCCCTTTGAGATAGTGTAGAACCTTGTGAGCAGCATAAAGATGAGGTTTGCGAGGAGCAGAAGAGAAGTGACACAACCTGTTGACTGCAAAAGATATGTCAGGACGGGTTGTTGTCAAATACATCAACTTCCCAATGAGTCTGTGATATGATTCTGCACTCGGTAAGAGTTCACTATCGTCAGCAGATAATTTGACACTAGGATCCATGGGAACAAAAGAAGGACGACACCCAAGTAAACCTGCATCAGTAAGAAGCTCAAGAACATATGTATGCGGACACACAGAGCTTCCTGAGGTTGAGCGTGCGATTTCAAGACCAAGGAAGTATTTAAGCACACCCAAGTCACGGAGCTTGAAATGACGTCTGAGTTGAGCAATAAACCAGGAAACAGCAGTTTCAGTGTCACTCGCGATGAGAATATCATCAACGTAGACTAGAATAATGATTGTCCCATGTGAAGAGTTGGAGAGAAACAGTGTGTGATCACCATTGATTTTCTCAAATCCCAAAGAAACAATTGCTGAAGAGAATTTTTCAAACCATTGTCGAGAGGCTTGTTTGAGGCCATATATGGACTTTTTCAACCTGAGAACATCATTATGAGGAAGATTGTTTCCTTTTCTCTCAGCATAATCAGGAGGTAAATCCATGTATATCTCTTCATTGAGATCACCATTCATAAAGGCATTCGAAATGTCTAGTTGATGAAGAATCCACTTCTTCTTTGCTGCAAGAGCTAAGATCATCTTGACGGTAACCATCTTGGCTACTGGAGAGAACGTTTCAACGTAATCTATACCCTCCTTTTGTGTGTAACCTTTAGCAACAA